AAAATGCCTTCTTGAATGGAGATCTACATGAAGAAGTCTATATGGTTCCTCCCCCTGGTGTTTCTCATCAACCTGGTAAAGTTTGCAAACTTCGAAAATCTCTCTACGGTCTCAAACAGGCACCACGAGCTTGGTTTGAGAAGTTTTCTACGGTGATCACTTCACTTGGTTTTCGTCCTAGTCATCATGATTCAGCTTTCTTTCACAAATATACAGCTGCTGGTCGTATTTTGCTCTCTTTATATGTTGATGATATGATTATTACTGGTGATGATACTGATGGGATTGCAGCACTAAATTCAGAGTTAGCTCGTTGTTTTGCAATGAAAGATTTAGGCTCACTCCGTTATTTTTTGGGTATTGAAGTTGCATCATCTCCGAAAGGTTATCTCCTTTATCAGTCTAAGTACATAGCTGATATATTTGAGCGTGCTCGTCTTACTGATAATAAGATTGTTGACACACCTCTTGAGCTTAATGCTAGATACTCTTCTTCCGATGGTTCTCCATTGTCGGATCCTAGTTTATATCATACTATTGTTGGTAGCTTGGTTTATCTCACCATTACTCGTCCAGATATTGCATACGTTGTTCATATAGTTAGTCAGTTTGTTACTTCGCCTACTACAGTTTATTGGGCTGCTGTTCTTCGTATCTTGTGGTATCTTCGGGGTACTTAGTTTTAGAGTCTTTTACTTTCTTCTACTTCTTCATTAGAATTACGAGCATATTGTGATGCTGATTGGGCTAGTGATCCTACAGATCGTCGATCTACCACAGGCTTTTGCATCTTTCTTGGTGATTCTCTTATTTTTTGGAAGAGCAAGAAACAAAATACTGTTTCTAGATCTTCCACGGAAGCAGAGTATCGTGCCATGGCCTCTACTACTTGTGAGATAGTTTGGTTATGTTGGTTGCTTGCAGATATGGGTATATGTCTCCATCAACCTACTCCATTGCATTGTGACAATAAGAGTGCTATTCAAATTGTGCACAATTCAGTTTTTCATGAGAGGACTAAGCATATTGAAATTGATTGTCATGTCACTCGACATCATTATCAACTTGGCACTATAGCATTACCTTTTGTTTCTTCTACTATGCAGATTGCTAACTTGTTTACAAAGTCACATTCCGTTTCACGTTTTCGTTTTTCGTTTAGCAAACTCTCGATGCTTCTTGCAGGAGTATCATGAGTTTGAGGGGAGATGTTAAATATATTATTTACATATTAAGAGTAGATTAGTCATTTTCTTTATCTACTTGTAAGACTATTTAGAGTTCTTCTCTTTTCTTGTATTTCACAGTCGTTCATTCATTGAAGAAACCCTTGTCTCCTTTTGTTCCCTCTACTTTGTTGTATTATTAGTTTAACACTAAAGACTTCATAAGTCAAGTCTTTTAGAGTAAATATCATGTTATGCAGACTAGATTCATATACATCTATCGTTTTTTTGTATAAATATATAGTTAAATTTCACATTGCAATCTCAAGTTAAGCAGACCTTGACCAAAATTTTTTGAAAATATTTATATGAATCTTGGACGAAATATGTGGATTGTAATTTATACATTGTGTTACAAAAAGAACACATATTGAAACTGAAAAATGAACTTTTATTGATAATTATCTATATAAATTACAGAACCACAAAGTAGATTAAGATACATAGCTGTAAAACTGCTCCCTAATTAGTTTCAGAATTACTAATTCAAAATATATAACTATTGCTATGTGAAAATAAATGTAGAAAAAAAGCCTAAGGCACAAATAAATTATTGATTTCGAGAATTTGATTGTTTTTCTCACTCTAACTTTTCATCTAATATAATTTTAATACGTATTAAAATGTTTTTAAAAAATTTAAAGCTTTTGTCTATATATGTGATCTCATATTTTATTGAAAATAGAGGTGGGCAATTTGCTGCAGAGGTTTAAAACTTGTCAAAACTATGTAGTGAAGTCCCAAAACTTTTAATCTTAGCACCTATAACCTAAACTTTTTAATAAATGTGCATAGAAAGGACCTCCAACTGTTTACATTCAAAAACATGTTAGTTGATCAAAAGTCAAATATTTTACCTTAATTTTATCAATTTAATGCAAGGTAAATTGGGGACGAGTTTTTTGTGGCGGTTTTAATCGCTGTTGGGGGGTGGTTGCTCTGTTGGGGTTGCGATGGGTGCACGGGAGAAGATGAATGTTTTTCGTCTTTTATTGTCTTCTTATTTTTATTTTTTTGGCTATTTTTTTCCAATTAATTAAATGTGAAAAACCACTTGCCCTGCATTGAATTGATCAAATTATAGTTAAGCATTTGACTTTTGGTCCAAATTTTCTTATGAAAACTGTCAGAGGTCTATTCCACGTATATTTATTAAAAGATTTTGGGTAAGTATTAAGATTATTAAAAGATTTTGGACTTGACTATATATTTTTAATAATTCTGGGACCTCTACTGCAAATTTTCCAAAAAATTAATACACCCAGATGATGAAAACTTAGCCACTTGCTTCCAGTTGGTGGCCAATGTGATCTTAAGAGCATTGCAATTTACTTTACATTTTTGATAGTGTCATGCCAAATGATTTTTCTAAATATAAATACGATCCATTCTATAGTATCGATGAGATAATAGAGAAGTTCCAGTAAGGTGGGATAGAATCTGGCACTGACTTTGGCATAAGGAGCTGAACAAGGCCTTCATCCAATAATATTTATTTGTACTCATTTACACGTAACAACAAATTATTCTTGATATTTTACTTTAGAATTTACAACGAGATAAGGACTTATAATTTTTCCCTCAGAATATAATTATATTTTAATTCACAATGCATTGCATGTGATATTGTGATGATCTTGTGGAAAAAAATAAAAAATTGTTTTAAAGTAATTGGATGAATTTTGTCCAAATTTGCCATATACACAATTCACATCGAAAGCGCAAAAGAAAGATTGAATAGTCTCAAGTGGCATAATTCTTGTTACAAAACTCAATTTTTTTTGTAAATTCAATTAATCAAATTTATTTTCTCGATGAAGTTTAGACATTTAAAATTTTTTGAAGAGAGAGATAGCAAACTTGAATAGAAAAAAACGAATAGAGTAATTTATTTATTTATATTCAAATTTCAATTGTAAAGAAAAAGAAAGAAATTTAGATTTTATTCTGGAGGATAATATAAGTAATGCTACAGGATTTAGTACATACTCGGGTGACCACGTGAAAGAAGCTAGAAATATTTTAGAAGACTTTTACCCCACCTCACTGTAAGGCCAGGACACACGATATTAGACTGTAGAACTGAAAATATAAAGTGCAGAAAATTAAAGAATCAACACAAGAATTGTTTTGGCCTAAGCCCCG